TATCGGGCACCCTTGCAACGTTGATTCAAGACGAACGCGCGCACAAATATACCTTACAATGTAAGGGGGCATCGGGCTCCCACAAGCCGTGCCTCCTATGTAAAAACGTGACCAGCCCGAATTGCCCTTGGTTGCCTGATGCATCTGGCTATCTCGTGCCAGGTACTGAGCTTGATACTTCACAATTCGATCTTCATTCGGATAAGTCGCTGAAGCAGGTACATCGGAGGTTGGCGCAGATTGCAGAGTCTGGAGATAAGAAGAAGTTACATGAGACAGAAATGATGTTCGGTTGGAAGTTTGAGCCGAATGGACCCCTCCAAGACAAACACTTGGACCTTGATCTTGTGTCGTGCTTCACGTGGGACTGGATGCACTGCTACTTGATCGATGGTGTTGCCGTTCATGAGTGCAAGGCTTGCGTCACGGAGTTCGAAAAGTACAACCGTGGAAGGCAACAACTCAAAGAGTATCTGCAGCGGTTCAAGTGGCCATCTGGCTACGCCCACGCTAAGAACATGTGCAATCATCCAAGTGTGATCTCGGGCAGCGCGTCCGAGTTTATTTCGTTCATGCCAGTGTTTGAAAAATATCTGGTTGATATTGTGGGGCCTGCAAAGGTATGCGTTGATATGGTCACCAGTGGCCTTGCTTTGTGTAAAGTCTTCAGGGCACTTACTATCGTGAACACAGGCGATGTATCACCAAGTTATCTGAAGCATTGCATCGATGAGCACTTGCGGCTACATCGGGCGGCTTGGGGGGATAGCCTTTGGAAGCCAAAGCAACATTATGTGCTGCATATCCCATCGCATCTTGAAGCTCAGGGACATCTCTTGTCAACTTTTCTCCACGAGAGAAAACACCGCTGCATCAAGAGGTTTGCGCAGGATCGGCCGAACACGACCAGTTACGAAAGGGGGCTCCTAGAGAATGTCACAATGCAACACCTCTGGGACTTAAAGGATCCGCTGAGTTGTGTCAATTTGGTTCACCCGATTGATCCTTCAAAAAAATTGAAGGATGCTCTTTCGCAGTTGTGTCACGTGTTTGATTGGGGGCAAGTGCGTACATCTAGAGCTGCGTGTTGTCATGGTCGGATAATTCAGATGTCCGACGTTGTAGCATTCCACGAGGGGTGTGGGGTGAAATTCGGTGCTGTATACTTTCACGTTTCACTCGGCGGCAAGGCTTTAACTTGCCTCGAGGTCTGGGATCTTGTGGAGTTGAGTTCGCATGTGGCCAAGTGCAGGGTAGTAGAGCATGTGAAGCTAGTTCCTCTTGAGAGCCTTTTGGAGCCTTGCGTTTGCTACCCAGCGATGCCAGGCAAGGTAGCGCAGGTACTTCTTCCGCACAGGATCAGACTTCGCACTGATAGGACTTAGTGATGTGGAGGTGGAGTCACAATAGAGGAGACGGGGGAGAATGATTGCAGCGCGCCCTGGGACGCTACAGTGCGTTAGCCCAATCCACGCTTCGCGGCCGCAGCAGAACTGAAGGGAGTCGACTCCTCCTCCTCCTCGTCCTCCTCTTCCTCCTCCTCCCCCCTCCTCCTTCCTGTCCTCACCCCTCCTTTCCTGCTCCTCCTGCTGTTCCTGTCTTCCTCCTCCCCCTCCTCCTCCTCCTCCTCCTCCCCCTTCTAGTGCTCCCACTCCCCCCTTCTACTCATCGTCCTCCCCCCTTCTTTTTTGTTTGGAATCCTCGCAGCTTAACCTGGTTAGCCAGGTTAGCTAACCAGGTTAGCGAGGTTAGCTAAGCAGGACAATCTCACTTAGCAACCCCCTCTCACAAAGTTAGCTCGGTTAAGCTAACCCGAATAGATGCTGACCTAAAGAAGATCAGCCTAACCAGATGCCAACTTGGATAGCTAAGGTGGTATAACCACATCTATCCCATGTGAACCACTTCACAACCACCCTGGGCATTCCAGCACCGGGTCACCGGGTCACCGGGTCAGCTGACCCAGCCCACCGGGTCACGGGGTCACCGGGTCACCGGGTCAGCTGGGTCACCGGATCACTGGGTCACCGGGTCAGCTGACCCAGCCCACCGGGTCACCGGGTCACCGGGTCAGCTGCTCAGCCCACCGGGTCACCGGGTCACCGGGTCAGCTGACCCACCCCATCGGGTCACCGGGTCACCGGGTCACCGGGTCAGTTGACCCACTCCACCGGGTCACCGGGTCACCGGGTCACCGGGTCAGCTGACCCAGCCCACCGGGTCACCGGGTCACCGGGTCAGCTGACCCACCCCACCGAATCACCGGGTCACCGGGTCACCGGGTCAGCTGACCCACCCTACCGGGTCACCGGGTCACCGGGTCACCGGGTCTGACCCACTCCACCGGGTCACCGGGTCAGCTGACCCACCCCACCGGGTCACCTTTTCACCGGGTCACCGGGTCAGCTGACCCACCTCACCGGGTCACCGAGTCACTGGGTCAGCTGACCCACCCTGCCGGGTCACCGTGTCACCGAGTCACTGGGTCAGCTGACCCACCCCACCGGGTCACCGGGTTACCGGGTCACTGGGTCAACTGACCCACCCCGCCGGGTCACCGGGTCACCGGGTCAACTGACCCACCCCACCTGGTCACCGGGTCACCGGGTCACCGGGTCCGCTGACCCACCCCACCGGGTCACCGGGTCACCGGGTGACCGGGTCCTAACCCACCCCACAGGGTCACCGCGGGTCGCCGGGTCACTGAGTCAAGTGACCCGCCCGGCCGGGACACCTGGTCACCGGGTTTAATTGACCCCCGGGGTCCAGAGCCACCAGGTCACCGGGTCACCAGGGTCACCGGGTCACTGGATCAAACGGTCGCCGAGCCACCGGGTCACGGGTCGGGTCGCCGAGTTACCAATTCACCGGGTCGCCGGGTCAGCGGGTCATCACCGGGTCAATTGACCCAGCCCGCCCGGTCACCAGACA